GATGGTGGGGACACAGGGGTGGCGGGGGGAGGGGATGAGGCCAGTGCAGCTGACCTCCCCCCCCCCGCCCTGCTCCCTGGGGGTGGGCGCAACAAAGCAGACAGAACAGGGGGTGGGGGGAAGGCCAGCACTGCTGGCTTTGCCCCCCACTGCCCAGCTCCCTGCAGGTGTCAACAATGGAGTGAGGCCATTGGAGTTGGCCTCCCCCTGCACCTGATGGTGGCAGCAGCACAGGAGGGAGCAGAGCTGGGAAGCTGCAGGGGAGTGGGGGGAAGCGAGGCCACCAGTTCTGGCCCCAGCCCTCCCCTCTCCTCTTCCATTATCACCTGCAGGGCCCATGTGGCGGTGGAGGAGGAACAGGAAGCCCAGCCTGACGCCCCCTCCCTGCTTGGGCCCAGGGGGCAGAAGCAGCTGGCCCGGCCCAATGTGGCAGTGGGAGGGGAAGAGCAGGCCTCCTCCCCCTCATAGGACCCGGTCCAACTCCTCCCCCATCCTCTCCCCCACGTCAGCCCCTCCCCCATTGCCCGTTTTGACCCAGGCCCACTACTCACCCCCTCTGCCGTGGTAACCCAGTCCTCTCCTAGATGAGGCCCAGGCCCCATCTTCCCCTCCTCCCACCGCTGCAGCAGGGGGGGAACAGACCAAGACCCCAAGAGCAGGAGGAAAGGGGGGAGTGGGTCGGTGGGGGAGAGGTGTAGGGCTCCATCCCTGCCCACTCCTTCCCACCCCATCATTCTTGACAGGCAATTGGCTATTATGCATATAAGGGGTGTGCATAAGAACTGGGAGAACATTTGTTTACCAGGGCACCCCAGGGGAAAACAAGGTCTAACACAGTCACAAACTGCTGCAAGACTGTTTTAGATCAGACATAAAGAAAAACTTCTTCACCATCCAAGTCTCCAGAGTCTGGAATAGAATCCCCACAGAAGTGGTGCAAGCACCTACTCTGGATACCTTTAAGAAATGCTTGGATGTTTATCTTGCTGGAGTGATCTGACCCCATCTGACTTCCTGCCCCTTGGGCAGGGGGCTGGACCTGATGACCTTGCGAGGTCCCTTCCAGCCCTAATGTCTATGAAATAGTCATTGTCTGGGTACTATTGGCCAAAGGTCTCCAAGTTTGACAATAATGGGTGCATGGACAAGGGATGCATGGATGTGCAAACGGATCCCACAATTGCAGAAAGGGAATATAGTACGTGTTTAGACCTTTTTGTATTTCAGCAATTCAAATCCATATTTAATTTAGCATTAGGATTAACAGTATTAATAATGAAGCCTTTATCTAGATTGGAAACCACTGTCAAACGTTATTAATAATGAAGCCTTTATCTATATTGGAAACCATTACTAATGTTTTTAAAAAGCAGTCTTGAGCAAACTCAACCAGAAGGTCATCTTTCTATGTAAGCATTATATGAAACTGTGGTAAAATGGGGCTAGTGCATTTTAATCTAAAACATTTTCTTTTTCACCCTGGCCATCTTTTTGTCCAAACCATGTTTCATTTAGCTGTTCTGATGCCTGAACTCTTGTGCAAAATTTGAAAAAGAAATGGCTTAAATGGTCAGCAAGGCCCTTAACTATCTCCAGCTTAAATGTAGATAGATTGATCAGAATTTTTTATTTAATCCAACACACACAATGGCCCATTTAAGAAACATGCACTTCCAAATCATTATAGCACTTATCTCAATGTAAGTTCTCTAATGGACAGAGTCTGACTACACAATCTTTATTGTATTTGAATAAGCACAGGCAACAAACTAGCTACACAGTTTTAGACCAAAACCAGATTTCTGAAACAGGATTTTCTGGGAAAATATGGTTTAGAATGAAAACTGTTTCTCTTAACTATAACATTACATGACAATGTAACAAAACAAGAATAATTTTAGGTATTTAAGAAGATAAGAAAAGGAACTCATTGCACTATATGCTTATCAGATAAGGACTTAAATTCAGCCACATTAAAACCAATTTAAATATGTTTATTTGTGCACTTTTATTATTATAATGCTGTTATTTGCAAGAATGAGAATTATCAACAGTTCCAAATATTCAACAGGTTTGGATTTAGTAAAACATGCAAGAAGAATCTTTGAAGTACTTCAATAACAAGCAATACCTTCATACCTGGTTTTCTCTGGTCATTGTAGCTAGATCATCTTGTAATCGTCTGTTTTCCTTCAGAGCCATTTCCTTTACTCTTCCCGTTTCTGCAAGCTCTATCTGGGATGCATCGAACTGGCGACGTAGACTAGCTATCTCACGGTCTTTGTTATTCAGCGCATCCTTTAGCTGGCTATCAAATGGGTGATTTTGAAAACCTTAAATAAAATTTCCCTGCTTATATTATAGCATATACTGCTGCAGTGTTAGGCAAAAGTTCTGAACATGCAAAAGCTTTAAGAGAAAATTACTGCCTTGCAATTCTTGGGATACCCAAAAACTAACACAGTTATGCAGATCGCATGGCCCTAGCGTGTGACATTAAGATTTTCAGTGCTCAGAGTCCAGTACTAAAGAAAGACAGCCTCCCATACAAAGCTCAAGAGGTAATGAAAGGGTGAAGAAGTGTGATAAAATTACAGAAGTAAATTATATATTTATTTATATATCTACTTATACATAAGCATAAGTGTTTGTCTTTTTGCTACAGATACTTCTTGTATCAGTGTACCAAATTTCCAGTTAAGCTGGTCTTCAAACAAATATTTAACTTTTTAAAAGAAAAAAATACTCAAGTCCCTAAAGGAAGAAATAACTGAAATGAGACTGATGGATTAGTTTAACACTGAGATCCATAAAGCACCAGAGGCACAAGTTTCTCAGAATGGTGGGTTTTTTGTTACTATATCACTGGAGAAAAACACTAAGTCAATATTACTATTCATGTCATTATATAACAGAAAAAAAGTCATTCTATTAGAAATGTTCTTGGTATAATAATTCAAGAAATGGGTTTCCTTAAACATGAAAAAAGTGAACAAAAAAACCCATTGAGTAAAGACTGGCAGTCTTTTGAACTAAAATATTTTCTAACTAAGTTTAAGAACAATAAAATATTAGTAGATGTAATTAGAGCTTTTTTGGTATTACTTTCACTGTTCTAAAATTGTTTTTTCCACACATTACATACTTCCAGCTAAGCACAGCATTGTCTGTAGGCCAGAGGTCCCCAAACTTTTTCTTATTGTATACCCCCTTCCAGATTTACCAGCTGCCCCCATACCCCTACCAGCATATGGTTTATATTTTAACTCCTCAAATGCCAATTATTATTATTTTGAAAATTACATCCATCATTACCCAATTTCTCCCGCATACCCCCCAGAGATGTCTTGCATACCCACAAGAGTACGCATACCACAGTTTGGGAACCCTCACTGTAGACTACCAGTTTGGAGCAAATAATGCAGTTTTTCCATATAAAATGTAAAACTGGCTTGATTTCTGCGTAACAGTGTTGTGGTGAAGCGGTTGCCATGATTGCCCAGGAAATATGAGGAAGGCAAGAACTGCTGTGGATGATATCTTTTATTAGACCAATTGCATGGTTGAGATAAACAAAAGCATTCCCACAATAATTCTTGCCTGCCACTGATTTCTGTACCACGTCCAATTTTTGAATGAAGATAATTTGTTTTAACCGGTAGTCCCATGAACCCACCAAAATTTGGGTTCAAACTCAACATGGAAAATGCATAATGAAACTAGATCAAGTTATGGAGTCATGAAGTATTGCAGGGAATGCAGCATTTTTTTCATACAAAAACCAACCACATCAAGATTTGGGTAACGTTCTGACCCTCTGATATGTATGCAGTGGAGGTATCCAAGAATGAAGCGGTAAATGAGAGTTTAGGCTGGATAAGCTCTTGATCTGTGCACATACCTGTCATGTATTGGTTATCTGTAGTATTAGTAAGGCCATCATTTCCAGTCAATAACAATATCTCATTCCTATTAGAAATGGGCCTGAACCAAAACCATAGGTCTAAGTAGGCTTGATTTCTGGGGAAGTCTGAATCTTATACCATAAACTATGCAGTGGGCCCCTCTTATTACAGAGGAATTGAAATCTTGATCTAAACATCTCTCTGATTTGGTAATGTTTGGATCTGGATCATCACTAAGTAATTCATATGGTAATTTCTATCCCCAAGAACCTCAAATATCTTCTTGGATTACAGATAAAGAAATTATTTCATGCAAGCATGAAATGCTGCTACCACTAAGAAAGAACACATTTGCTGTTTAATGGCACATGGTACTTTACACAGCAGTTATGCCTCAATATAAAAATGTACCATTTTACATGGAAAAGAGCATGTGGTACCTCACGCTATCAAACTTATGAAGTCACCTTTTAGCTTAGAATTAAGTGCTTATTGGAAAAGTAAAATATACATGAGGTTGCCAGCCCTAATATTAGTTGTCTATTTGCATACCTTCCCTGGTATTAAAGTAGTGTTATCTTCTGAAAGCAGACATACACATTTTCTACTAATGCAATTATAGTCCCTTACTTGACTGAAAATACAGTTAACTATATTTCACCAAATAATAAGCTTGGCTGCTAGTGCTTTTAATCTTCAGAAGACACTGAATTCAGAAAAATAAAACCAATGATGAATATAAAATCATTTCAGTTATTACTTACTCTATAGAGGACTCTAGCTCTGACAGAGTTAGTCTCAAATGAGCAATTGTTTTTTCCTATGATAAATGGAAAAAAAAAAGATAAATTAAATGTTCTCATGGAATATACCTGGTTAATATAAACTAAGCGAACTATATGGTAGTATTTACAATCACTTTATTTTAAATATGCAGCTATTTTAAATGCATTTTTCATAGAAAAAATACTAGCCATGCCAGACTCTAAATAATGGGTTTAATGCCAGATTTCAAAATATCCTTAGAATAAAATTAAATACGTAATCAAATTGTAGTTTGCAGATGAAAAACCAGCTCGTAGCTAAACTAAATACCATAATTTCTTGAATACAACCTGCACCTTCTCTCTCCCTCAGCCAGAAAACAGCTGGGGGAAATTACATGCAAGGAAAGGGATCCTATGGGAAAACTGGAAGGGAACACAGAGGAAGATTACCAAACAGCAGCGTTACTTACTGAGGCTGTGGGAGTCATGGTCATTATAGATTCATAGATTGTTAGGGGCTAGAAGGGACCTTGTAGATTATTGGGTCCAATCCCCCTGCAGTAGGCAGGAAAAGACAACCCGGTTGCTGCTTCCCACACCCCTCCCCCTACCACCAAAATTTCCAGACTCAGGGGAACCTTCCCTTCTCATTCATGCACCAGATCAGCCAGCGTGTGGGGCTGATCAGTGGCCAGATGCAGCATGCTGAGTCTGATGGGTCAGATGCATACACAAACGCTCGTAGTATGGGTAACAAGCAGGAGGAA